TCTTGAAACTAGATATGTACGACTTGATCGAGAATTTCAAAGATTGGTTTTTTATTCTTTTTATTTTTGATGTATTCTTATTTTTTGCTAATTCTTCTAATTGTAACTCGTTTTTTTTTCATAGGTTTTTCTTATAGTTTGTGTACTGACATAGTCTCGTAAAATTTTCGATAGTGATATTTCTCTTAAAATTTTTATTTTATCAGTGTAATCTTTGTACTTTTTTTTGAGGCTTTCCATTTTTTGTGTACGTAATATATATATCACAAAGAATACATTTACAAGATAGATTACATACACAAGTTGTTACATAATCTGCATCATAGAATATGGATCTATATAGCATTACATTGCATACACTGTAAGAATTTAGTACAATTAGTGCAATTTGTGCGCGCGCAACACTTGTCTAGTCTATCATGATGTGGAAGAGGCACACGACAATAGTGTTGGTAAAAGTATGTGTGAATGCCAAGGTTACAGAAGTCAAATTTAGAGACTCTATATATGTGCTTAATTTTTCCATTATTTAATTTAATACAGGTTTATTTGTTGGTAGAAATTTAGCGTGAGTATGTGACTTACCTCATAAGCATGAAAGTGCATGAAGGGACAAGTACACTTTAAAAGATGAACAATCGATCACTATGCTTGAAATCGTGTACTATGTGTACTTCGGTCATTTTTACGCGAATCTAAATTTAATTGCAGTACTTCAGAAATCTAGTGACTTTAATACTTAACCTCATAAGCAGATATTTATCTTAGAGCATATAGACATGAAGGAAGCATTGCACATCTCCAATGGCCCAAATGTATGTCCAAGATATGTATAAGAGAGAAAGATTACGTATAGAACTTTCGCTTTGAATATATAGACATGGAGGAGGAATGGTATAATCGAAAGTGTGTCCAAAATCTGTGCAAAAGAGAAAGAGATATTCGTCATCTCTGTGCATGCGTCGAAATTAACAGAGGTTATAGATTCAGCTGTTGATGATAAGATCTTTTATAAATGACATCATACTAGGATGTGATGAAGGGATAAATAAATATTAATATACACAATTAATACATAAGAAAATAATTTTTATTCGTTTTTGAAATGAATCAGTTTTGTAAATTTATGTCTAATGTACTCTTTTTGTATTGAATTATTAACGCACTTGACCTCATGGAATAAATATAATTGACATAAATTATAATTATGTTTTTAAGAAGTTCCGTTTTATGATTGATTTTATTATATACAATTCAAGATATATCTTAAATATTTATACTTCAAATGAGAGAGCTCAATAAATCTATTGACACAGATAGACAAGATAAATATTTTATTGATTAAATATGTCAATGATTTTATTTGCGTTATTTATTAAGATTAATAAATAGGACAAAATGATAAATTAGAAACAGTGTGTTTCATGAAGGCAAAGAACTTATGACGAAATATGATTTCTCATTTAAGTATGTGAAAGGAATGTCTATAATTTCAGTTCAGTTTATCATTTTATTCTATTTATTTTAATAATTATCATTATAATTAATTACTTTATAATTTATTATTATAATTAATTACTTTATAATTTATTATTATAATTAATTACTTTATACTTTACAAAGTAATTACTTTATAATTAGTAATACACAATTCACAATTTTACACTGATTTTATTTACAAAGTAAATTTTCATAATTAATAAATTCTTTTGTTGTAAATACCTTACTAAACCTTTCGTTGTTGTGATACGAACAATCTATTGTGAGCTTGCTGCAGTTTTTATTTTTCGTTGTTATTGTTTGATAGCTGCAAAGCCCTTCGAGCTTTCCTAGGTGTAGCTAAAGGTGGAGTCCTAATTGCATTAATAAAACGAGGATTAATAGACATACAGTCTTCGTAAGTATTTGCCAGTTTGAATCTAAAGCTTCATTTCTCACAAGTGTGGACAGTTCACTATTGACAACATATAATAATCTTTCAATTTTCGTAGCTGAGTCTGGTGTTCCAATATGACAGAAGATATAACCTTTGGAGATGTTTGGCATTTCGACAATTGAATACTATCATAACTCTGCAGAGTACATTGAGCATCTATCATTGAAGTATTTAAAAAGTCATCAATCATTAAGTAATTATTTTTAATTCGTTCTAAACAAATATATACATAAAATCAGTAGTATTCATTATTATACTTACTAACTGATACATTGCAATGGATATTTGTATTGTCAATAACATTATATTTCTGTTCATTGTACAGAATTGATCCAAGATGCGTGTGAGAGAGAAAGCTATAAGATGCATGTAAAAAAGCAGATGTGTACATGGAACATTCGTTCTTTCATGCTTTAAAATGCCGATTATACTGTAACAGTACTGTATAATAATTATACTGAAACGTAACATATTATACTAACTATAGTGTCTGTAACGTTAACACATGTATAGAGGACGAAAATTCTTTGAGTATATAGACATGGAGGAAGAATTGCATTGTTTCCTTTTGAAAGTATGTTCAAAATCCGTGTGAGAGAGAAGATATAGAATGATACTCGTCTTCTCTGCGCATGTGTCAAATCACTACTTGCATCACAATTTCGACACTTTCTACACTTAATGTCTGAACTGCTTAGTGCTCCGTGAAAATCAGTGAACGATGTATTGAACTATCAATTGGTGATAAAATATCTATCACACACTCAAAATCAATGTATTGCATTTTATGCGGAAATCGCAAGAAATCTGTTTTCTATCATGCGTAAGTAAATATTTATTATGTAAAGCCTAAGATGTGATAAAATATAGGTTAGGATTTGTGCCAGTTTAATAAAAACTAATAAATACAATGCAATATTTTTTCATATATAAATTATAAATTATACAATTAATTATGGATCGTATTACTAGATTTTCTAAGCAAAAGAAAATTCGCAAGCAGTGGCTAGAATTCTGTGAAATCGATGAACATATTCTGAACATGGCTACTATGTTCAAATCATTTTCGTGAAGAATTAAAGATACCTTTACTAAGTTTTAATACTAAAACTCAATGCTGTTATAAAGAAGAAGACAATATCTGAACAATCAAACTTTGCTCTGAAGTTTATGATAGCACAAAACAGAAATATAATGTTATTGACAATACAAATATCCATTGCAATGTATCAGTTAGTAAGTATAATAATGAATGATACTCCCTCCTTGTCTATATGTTAATAAATTAATTGTCTATATGTTAAAAAATAAATTATTTAATAGAAGCACGACGAGATATTATTAAAGACCGTCAACTGGACAAATTTTCGATATAAAAAGGGCTCCAAGAGCCTGAAGGTAATTGAGGAACTGACATTATCGACAATTGATTTACATTTGTTATTATTAAATATTTGGCTCATACATTATTAAATTCATGATTTTTTATTACATAAATGTTCAATAAATAAATATGCATACTTGTAAAGCTAATATCCTATATATTGCAGAAAAATTACAATTTTTCTCTGCAGGTATCCAAGAAGAGAAGAGCGATAAGAGGTATGATAAGGAGAATAAGGAGAGAACTGATGGAAAGGGATGAAGAAGAAAAAGAGATCAAAGGAATAATGATAGGGAGGATAAGGTGTGGAAAAAATAGTTGGAGGATAATGGGAATCTATAGGGATGGAGGAGATACTGGAGGATTTAAGGATTGGATGGAGGAAAAAGGAAAGATGAAAACAATAGAAGGAGGAAATTTTAATGCGAGAACGGGGATAGAGAAAGGATGGTTTGAAGGGGAAGAATGTGAGGAAGAAAAACAAGGAAGGAATTCAAAGAATAAAAAGATAAATGGAGAAGGGAGGAAATTGTTAGAATTCATTAGTGATAGAGGATGAACAATTTTGAACAGAAGAATAAAAGACAAGGAAAGGAAATGAATATATACAGGAGGAAAAGGAGAATTGATTATATACTGGATGAGACAGTAAGAGAGAAAATTATACGATTGGAGGTAGGAGAGGTAGAGTCAGATCATCGCTCGGTTACGACATGGATTAGAAAGAGATAATAGGAAAAAAAAGGAAAAGGGTCGGAGGTAAAGGGGGGAAAGAGGGATATAGAATGAGGAAGATAGGGAAACTACATTTAGGAGGAAGTTGGACAGAATGGAAGGGGAAGAATGGGAAACTCAAGAGAAAATGGAATAAATGAGGAGGAGAATTAGAAAGGCGCTAGAAGAAACAGAAAGGGAATTAGGAGAGAAAGAGGAAAAAAGAATGGGATAATGAGATGAAGAATGTAGAAGAAATAAGAAGTGAGAAAGAATTTGAGAACATGGAGAATGGAAATAGAAGAAAAGGAGAAGAAAAGAGAATGTAAGGAATTATGTGAGAAGAAAAAATGGGAAGAAAATGAGAGATGGATAAGAGTGGTGGAGGGAGTAAAGACGGAGAGTTAAGTATGGAAAGTGAACATGGAGAAGAAGAAGTGGACAGAGGTGAATAAAACTTGATTATATAACATGGGCTGCTAGCAGCAACTTCATACTGCATGTATCGCGTCATCATCGACTAATTGAGGAATGTATGAACTAAATGATGTCATATCAATCCTGTCGCAAGTAAACGTTCGAAGTAGTTCGAAGATGCGAATAGTTTAACTGTATAAAAAGGTATTTTTATATTAATATATTGAAATGGTAATGTACTGCTTTGTCCAAGGTTATTCCAGTAAACAAGAATGGATTAAATTGGATTAAAAATTTTTTTAATGCGTACTTTAAATCTATGAAAATGGATTGAATGGATTGAAACGGATTGGATCAGAGCAGACACTAGTTTAATATTCGAAAAAAAAAAACATTCATATTTAAGGGTTACAAATTTTATTCCTAAGACATTTATAATAAATTATACATGAAATTAACTATTTCAAATTAAAAACGATATTAAAAAATGTACTTTAGTATGATTCGAATCTGGATTATAAATCTTCTACATTACTCGCTATACTTCTTCAATTGGTAAATGTGTTATTCGTTCTCTACTTCAATTACAACCAGCTAAATTAGTAACGAAATTATATAGATATAAAAATATCATTTAACAGATATAATAAGTATATAATAAGTATAAACAATTTATATTATTATGAGACAATATTGGATAAGTCGAATAATCTATCTCGCTTGGCCGATGTCGCGCGCTTTGATTAGCCTAATATTCTGTGTTTGACTTGATTTGTGAATGTTTACCTCAATCATTATTCACTTCTAATCAAAGAGAAACAAAAGAATATAGCTCAATTATTTTTACGTTACAACTTTTTTGAACTTAGTTGGATTAAAAATTTCCTCATAATTTCCTCATAATTACTCATAATTTGAATAATTTAAGTAGCATTTATGGTCCATTTTTAAATAAAAACTTTTTTTATTCAATTAGAAAAACTGCATTTCATATTCGGAATATTGAATTAAGCAATATTCACATTGCACAAAAATTGCTGATATTTTTTCTGTGTTACGTAATCGTTATATTAGTCTCTATTCTAACTCGTTATTCAATTAATTGTTCTTATTATTATGAAAAAACAAACTATTTACACACTTCATGGCGTAACTAACTCGCTCTGTATATTTATACCGGATGTCGTTCATGTTTTACTCCCGTCTCCAATATCATCTTCGACCGAGTTCGGAGCAGTCGGTGACTAGACTGGCATGTATAAATCGACATTCTACCTGCCATCTTGGATTTAATGTATTTAATGTATTTTTTAACGTATTTTTTATTTCAATTTAATTTGAAATTAAATATGGCGTCCGATCGAAACATTCTGAAATGTTCTAGAACAATCTAGAAAATTTTATAATAATCGCGAAGCTTCCACACTCTCAGAGAGTAGGATAGACAAAGAAGGAAATGAAAAGAGAAAGTTTTTCTCGGAATCTTCGAGTAATAAATCTGTCATTCCAATTCCCGGAACACGCCATGTATCACGTAAGCCTGAACATAAGCGCAGGCTCGAGCCTCATTCCCTGGTTCACGAGGTATATAAGGCGCGTTCACAGAGCAATTCCTTATAGTCGATCTCGAAACTTTAATATTGCACCGTAATATCGTGCAACACTCCTTCCGATTCTCGATCGTAAATACAGTAGCAGTCGCCTTCCTGCTGTTTGAAAATTACAACATCTCGATGATCCTTCCATCTATCCGAGTATCCAATGAAATTGCTGAGAGATTGTGGAAACGAAGGTTCGGTAATTATTAAAGTAAATTATTAAGAATATCCGTTGCTTGAGAGTCGTGGAACAGCAGTTCTCGAACTTTCGAACAGCCAACGGACCAGGTCGAACATTGTAGCAAACGCGAATAACTATGTGTATGCACGTGAACCTGTCGTGACATGTTTGCGCGTATTGCGTAAAATGATATAATGCCCGTTGTAATAAAGTTGTATGTAAAATAAAGTTGTATGGTCCGTTGTTAAATATATAATATTTAATTAGAGAAGAATTATACAGAATTGTACTTGATTAAAACATATTATTAAAGAATTGTCGAATTATCGAGGATTAATTGATCTTATTACTATTTTCATATGAAATTCAATGCGATTCTTGCGAAACAGATAGGAAGTGAATAAAGTGAATAAAGTGATAAACTAATTACGTTTATTTCTCTACTGTTGTATGTGAATTCGATTAAATGAACAACACTGAAGTAGAGTACTTTTTGTATAAACAGTTCCCTTATTGAAGGAACGTGAGTAAGCGAAGTGTTAACGGAAATAGCTTCCAGGGAACGTCTTATAGTTTTTTCCAACGATAACCAATCAAGATAAAGTAATATTTTCCTTTTTAAGCTGCTTGTTGTAATTATTCCATCGTTACAAAAATACATTTTGACGAGGCAATAATTGTTGGTTGCGTGCAACCAACAATTCTTTAAATTTAGGATTAGACGCAGTTAATATTTAAATTTATTATCGAGATAATAACAATAAGTTGGAATACGGAGAGATCAATAAATACAATCGACGAAAATATTAAATGCCATTATTTACGTAGATTAAAATATTGAAAATGAATTGTCGATTTAAATGTTTATTTTGGCAGCAAATAAAATTAATATTATTAAGGAAGGTATAAATAAAGAAGATCTGTTGTTGTGGTTCTCTATTTACAACTTTCCTTTTGATACCTTGCTATCACCTGTACACATCGTTCTCTGCTCTCATTCCTGGATATTGTCGGCCCAGCAGGTAGTCCTAAAAAGAGAACAACCTGCCTCTCTGCGACTGAGGTACGTCGAGTAGGAAGATTATAAGCGTATCGCGTGCCGAGGCACAAGTTAGCAATCCGTGAGTTAAATAAATTTGTGTTATTACGGCGGCTTGCGCGGAGGCTCCATTTATTCAGCTCCCATCCGGACATAACATGATAAAATGTTGGTGGAATAATAAAAAGAAAACGATGTAGATGGAATAATGAAAGGAGATACAGATTTTGTTATATTGCTATAATATTGCTATATATTGTTATATTGCTATAATAAAATTTTAGTTACAGCGATTATTAAAATCTCAGTAAATTTAATTGTTATAATAATTTTTAGTTACGAATAATAAAAAAACCGACATGGATTATTAATTTCGCAAAACTTAGTCATTATGCAACAATTTTGAGATTTAGATATTGTTTAAAGAAAAAAATCGTGAGTAAGTTAATAAAATTTAATGGCAGTGATTTTTTTGAGAAGCTCACGATAATTAATATATTGCTGGGAACACGATAAACTTTTAACAACATGGTTAGCAATTAATCTTGTTTCCAATCTTATTGTTCATATACATTATTGTTTATACACACTCGTATAATGCGTAACTCTATATACATACATATCGGTTATTGCGAAGAATATTACTAAGCTCTCAGTAGTCTAAAGACTTAGGACGCTCGCACGGAATGCAAGAAATCCGGGTTCGACTCCCGACCGAGGCAATATTTTTCGCAATAAGTTTATTACAGTTGTTAAGATTAATTTGGGAAATTTGGGGGGATTATTAATATCAGATTGATTGCGTTGAAAGTCCGATAACCATATCGGCACGTAATTATTATAAGTATTATTTCTGAAATTAATTCATTTATATGAATATATAATAGTTCAACATCTTAACATTCAGACTGTAGTGGCTTCGTATTTAAAGAAATGTATTTAACATAAACGGTCTTGTTTCCAAAGGCAGAATAATATAATAAATTTTGGTAGCAACTTTATAATATTCGCTTGCCTCTCGATATGATGTACGCTCAAACTTAGAAATCAACAGTATCTAAAAGCAGCAATATGGAGAATCAACAAATGCCGAAACAGAAATCATTAACCAGCGGATCGCTGAAAAAGAAAAGAGACTTCATAAAGAAAGTGAAACTCTGAGAAGAAAATAAAAAGAGCTGGAGAGAATAAAAGCAGACACGGAAATAGCTACAGGTTTTTTTGAGAATTTATCCGCAAGAATGGAACGAATGGAACAAGCGGTAATTGCTCTCGCTTTGTTACCAGAACAGAAATTATTTTGCACAAGCATGATTAATTGATCAATTGGATCAAAGATCAATACAATGCATTTACATCAATCACAAGATGAGAAAGAATTTTCTTTTAGATCAGGAAGTCTAGGTGTCTCGATAATCCGCCAAGCCCATTTTCACCTATACGCTTGAAGAACGTGCTAGAATCGATACTTAAATACGATGGACATAAGATATCGGTATTCATTTTTTGCAAGGTTTGCGAAAGAGCGTGTAAACTAATTCCATAGAAGCAAGAATATTATTTGGAGTTAATAATAAATAAATTACAAAAGCACGCCTACGGTTGTCGAAGGATACGAATATAAAATGGTTTTACGAATTAATAACGCAGTTAAAACAA